AAACAAAGGCATAGTTTGATGACGCCGTGACTGAGTGTGGAATCATGGGAGTTGTCGTCTTCATCCCCACAGCCGATGCAATTCGACGGGACTCGGGCAGAAATCATGTTCATGGTTGAGCTAATGATTTATTAACGTTGTAGAATGAAGCAGGGTGAGGCTGGAAGCCGTCGAAGAGAAACTATGCCGCTGAACGAGCGTGACACACGGCTCGAAAGCAGCGGAGCTTCTATTATGCCACAGTCGACCGTTTCCGCTCCTTCCGGTCGTGCGTATGTGGGGTAAAGCAGCGCTGTTTTATCATACTAGATCCGTTTGAAAGTTCTGTTACAATGCTACTCTGTGTGGTCGTCACCGGTCTATTAAAACTCACAACATATTAAAGTGTCTTTGGTGTTTCCATGTTTTCTACAAAACAAAACCGGAAATCGAGGGGTTATGACGTCATTGGCAGGCGACACAATGACACTATAGACACGGCTTGTGTCACTAGTTAAAATTGCTTATTTCTCTAGATTTAAACATTCTTCGAAACATTTGTAATAATGTAAGTACACAAGTCGGCAAAATATATAACACTGTTCTAGTGGTTTTTGGATATTTTAATAAAAAAATCATACATATTGTGCCTTTAAATGTAATTTTGACATTTCAGGGAATTAAAATGTCTTCCCCTATTCAAGTAGATAGGAGCAGTACTTGCATGCCATTTACCTACATAGAAAACATATGTCCGGGGGCTTTACTAAGATGGCTGCCGAGTGACCCGATTTGGTCACTGCAAACTGCTCTCAAAATGATCAGCATGCTTATATTTCATTTGTACAGAGAGTTCAACAAAGGGCCAATAAACACAGAACATGCACATTCAACACAAGCATGGCACTGATCTCAGCCTCTAGTCAGTTAAACTCCTTTGTGTTGGCTTGCAATCGCACCGACTCTAATCACAGAGCTCAAACACACAGCTGCCTCTGAGACTGTACATCACAATAAAGTAATAGCACTTCCTCTGAGAGCTCCAGTTAACCTTGAGCCTGTGCTGGGTAAGGGAGAGAATAATGGTGTGTTTATTGAGAATGGAACAGGAGAAGAGAGCAAAATTAAGTTAGAATATGCAACACACATAAAAATTAAAGACTTGTGTTATTGGCTACCCCACACGACTTCAAGCACACAAAGATGAAAACACAAAGGAATATGATTTATACCTGAGACCCAGGTCCAAATTTAACATACAAACCAAGTGCCAAATGCAATTTAAAATCTGGCTTTGGTGAGTAGATAACAAAATATTTGCCAGTGTCATAGCAAATGAAAATAAATAATAATAATAATAAAATAATAAATTATAAATATAGTAATTAAACAATAAAACAATTAATTATTACATAATAAATGATTATATCTATTATATATTTAAAGAATATTAATACTTTTATTCAGAAAGGACCAATTAAATTACCAAAAGGTGACAGTAAAGACATTTCTTCTCAAAGATTCTTTATGATTTCTTTGTTCTTTCAAATTTTCTATTCATCAAAAGATCCTGAAAAAACAAAACATATATATCCTAATATATCCTGGAAAAAAATCTATATAAACTGCTTCATGGCTGGCAAATGTTCTCAATTCACTTGCTTTGGCAGGTGTGAAAAAAAAGTTAATTTGGACTCTGCCTGAAGGGCAAAGGAGAGAAAGAAAGAGAAATAGACTACTGAAAAGGTGTGAGAGACAAGAAAGAGTAATTTTTGGCTGAGAAAAAGCAATTGTGTTGGGAAGAGTATCAAATAATGAAAGGCGCAGGAGTCGAGTGCCAAATAAACGCTCTGCAATTTACTCTTAATGGAAAGCAAAATCTGAGAGTGTATAAGTCTTGATGAAAGAGATCTCCTCCATTAATAAACATGCGGCTCCTGCACTGCTTATTTCAGCTTTTGTGTTCGGGCACTCTGAGATCATTGAAGGATCTGAGCAAGCAGTAATGTGAGTGCGAGTCTGTGTGACTCTGTACAGTATGTGTGTGTGGCTCAGTGGGTCTGTGTTAATTTGGGTGTTGTGTAAAGGGAGTTAATATCAGCTGTAGAGGCATTTGACGACACAGGTGAGGGTCTAATACTCCAAGTGATTTCTGAAGTGTGTAACCGGGCATTTACATAATATTGCATACAATGTATGTACAGTATGCGTGTATAACTCTTTAGAACTGACCTCTCACACAAACACACACCAGCTGTTCACTAAGCCCTGCTTGACTCCAGATGCTGCTCTTATACAACTTCATTTTGTAATTGGTCAGCACTAAAAATGGAGTGTGCGCTCATGGGTCGACATGCACAAACGCACGTCTGTGTTTTTTACCACGGTGGGCACTTTCCATTCCATTATTATCAGTTATGCTGATATTACATTGTGCTAAAGGTATTTTCTAGCTCCTAAACAAACCCTCACATGAGCCTTTCTGCATTAAGACATTATTTTCTATGTTAATAAGCCATTTACCTCATGAAGGCTGTTGGCTGGAGGTAATGTGAGGTTTTACTATCCTTATGGTGACATTTACTGTAGGCTCCACAAAATAAGCAAAACCTATTTACAGATACACACACATACCTGTACAGGAACACAAAACTAGGTGCATTCTAGCTGTAAAACTATGTTTTTGACATAGTATGACTCTAAAAATGGACAATAGTCTTACGTTATGCAGGTATGATTATGTTACATTAGTAATTTCTCAGTAATTAATTAATAACATTAGTAATTTCTGTTATGAGCCCACAAAACAAACAAAAAATTAAAAAAATTAAATGGCAAATATATTTTGAAATCATTTGGTCACAAAAAGTCTAAAAAGTCAAAAAAGCTATTATTATTATTATTATTATTATTATTATTATGACATCATTCATTTCTGTTATGAGCACAATTCTGGTCTTTTACTTACCCATAAACTTAGCTGTTTACTGAATTCTGTGACTAGCAAAGGGGTCTTTGAGAATTACACTGCATTCAGACACCAATTTCTCTTTATTTTGGTATAAAACAGCAGAAAAATGGCAATTTCACCTGAAAGAAATGACTATAATCTCCAATTATGTGCAGAACATTTAGTCTTCAACTTAAAAAAAAAAGTGGACATAAACTGCTAGCAGCGGATTTGTAATTGTGTAGTTTCTGTTGTTCAGCACTAAGCCTCAATAAATTGTCCATCTCAACTAACGGTAAAAACATGTAAATGTTTTGTGTATTTTTTTTTTTGATAATACTCATGTGTACCATTATATATCCACTAACCCAAAATAATAATAAAAAAACAATAATAATAAAAATAGCACTAACACTGACCACTGCTGCCGATCTCATTAAAGAGGACAGGAACGTCGTTTAATCCCACATGGTATGGAAAGACATCAACGACACGAGGATGCAATGAAACTGAGAAGCACTAAGATGAATAAGCTGCTTTGTCACAACCTCATTTGGCTCAAAAAGGAACTATTTCACTCAAATCAAATGGAGATGAGTGAAAACATCTGCTGCAGTATTACTGAGAGGACAGCGTCCTCAAATACGGTCTCTGCCAACATCAGGAGCAAGACAACCACTAAAAGACAAAAAAAACCATGCAAACCAGCATTCACCATCCACATTACACTGACTAATGCAAAAGCTGTAATGTGGGATCATATGACATCAGACATCAGACATATAAAGAGAAAAAAAGCAGCGCTATCTTGTGTTTTACAGAACTGCCTCTTGCTAAACAGGCTTTATCCTAGGCCTGGGCGATAAAACAGTATCAATATTTATCGACGGTACAACTTCTTCGATAACAATATAAAAAATGATCGATATAGTGCACGATATAGGCACGTGCTATGAGTGACGCAGACAGCACACACAAACACTCACACATGCTAAGGTTAATTTAAAAATACAGTGGTTAAATAAAAAAAAAATTCTATTGCTCTTTTTAAAAAAGGTTATAAAAAATGTCAATAATTATCGATACCGAACGATATGAAACATTATATCGTTGATACATTTTTTAGCTATATCGCCCAGCCCTACTTTATCCTCATAAAAAAAGTGAACTTTGACTCACTGAGGCACTTTATTTGGAAATACAGGGAAAGATACTAGGTAGGGGTGCAACAGTACACATATTTATACCGAAAATTCTTTAACGAAATCTGTACCGAACAAATACAGCATTGTTTTAACCACTGCACGAGTGGATCTTCATTGGAAACTTCCAATGAACTACTAGTTCTACTACTAGTTTTAACGTGAAATAAACATGAATGAATGACATCAAAACAAAATTTCACATAGCATTTAATTTACCTCAGGCAAGTCAAAGTCCACAGCTCTTTGGATTGCTAGAGAAATTAAGTCTAGAGAAGAGCATTTTGCGAAATATTAGATTTTGTACTCATTATATTTTACTTTACCTGTTAGTGATGTCTTAATTATTTAATGTATGTTTAAATCAATTTGGTATGAAACAAGTTATGACAGCCACTGTGTAAATTAATATATTTCAACAACAAATATACATTTTATAATTTAGAAGTTCATTTAAAAACTGCATTTGCAGTTTACATATTTGCATACAATTTTTTAAGTTAAGTGCTGATTATTATGTTTAAAAATAAATAGTAATTAAATTTACATTTGGGCTCTGTTGTTAATTGTAACCTTATAGTAATGGAAAAGGGCTGCATATAGTTTAGATCATAAGCTGAGGTAGATTTTCATCCCTATAGAAAATTTTAATTATAATTGAATTTATTCAAAGAAAGAGCAATTTGTTCAGTAAACCACTGTTTAATTAAAAAAAGCAATTTTATGTTTCGTTTTTCCTCCCTGCTTTACCGAAACCATACTGAACTGTGGTGTCAAAACCGAGGTACGTACCGAACCATCATGTTTATGTACCGTTACACCCCTAATACGAAGTAAACACAAGTTTCAATATTTTATGAAGAATGTACCTGGAAGGCTGGTGGAGATGTTGACCTGCGTGTAGAACCTTTTGTTGGGGAGTAACTCTGAGACGCCGTTCCGGGCCTCCACGCTGAAGGAGTAGTTGGAGTTGGGCAGCAGGTTGACTACGGTGACTGTGCACTCCGTCAGGCCGCTCTGCTGTGGTACGAAGCCCACGCTGGCTCCGCAGGGTTCACACTGCACCTGCGGGGCCCGCGGGGGGCCGACGCATCGCCGGCAGCCTATGCTGTAGGTGAGATCCCCTCGGCCGCCTGAGTCATTCGGAGTGGCCCACTCCAGAATGAGCGTAGACTGTTTGAGGGTGTAGACCAGATCTCGAGGCGGAGAGGGGGGGCCTGTGTGTAAAAATAAATAAATTAATTAAGTTTGTAATGCTTGATTAAAACAAAAAGTACCGAAGTGTTCAGTACCACCACCACTACCAAAAAAAATTAAATCTTAAGCATTAAATAAATGTCATCTGAACATACTCTAATTAACATGATGATAATTACCCCTCAAAGAACTGTAATTCTTTTTAATAATTTAACCCAATTAGCTACAACTGGGTAAAGCTGAACGGAGCTTGAAATGAACTCAGGCCATGGAAGACAGTCAAAGAGAGATCATTGAGTATTGAGGGCATTGGCAAAGACAAACACAGTTCTCATGCACTAGCAAAAACTCCATTCATACAAATACAGAGAGAGGAAAAGCCGTTTCATGTAAATGTGCCAACATGTAATTTGACTGAATCTGTGGCAGCAGAATTAAAATGAAAAAGCAAAGTGTTTTCATTTTGTAATCACTTGGCGACATTTAAAACAAGAGGTTTTAATGTTGTTGTTGCAGTTAAAGGTATAGTTCACCCAAAAATGCAAATTCTATCATTAATCACTCAACCTCATGTCGTTCCAAAACTGTAAGATCTTTCATCTTCAGAACACAAATTACACGACACAGAATAGAAGAAATTGTTGAATAAAGTCATTATTTTTGTTTTCTTTGCACACAAAAAGTATTCTCGTAGCTTCATAAAATTACGGTTGAACCACTGATGTCACATTTTATTTATTTACAACTATTTTAACAATGTCTTTACTACCTTTCTGGGCCTTGAATGGGGTAGTTGCGTTGCTGTCTATGGAGGGTCAGCAATCTCTCAGATTTCATCAAAAATATCTTAATTTGTGTTCTGAAGATGAACAAAGGTCTTATGGGTTTGGAACGACATGAGGGTGAGTAATGAAGGACAGAATTTGCAATTTTGGGGTGAACTATCCCTTTAATACTACTACTACTACTACTACTACTACTAATAATAATAATAATAATGATGCATGTATTTTTCCATTATTACTGTTATTATTAACCCGCTTGACTAAAAGCATAAAACAAGGTAAAATACAAAATTAACATATGTATTTGAGATTAATTATATCTTAAAACTGGCAAAACTTTGTAAAAAAGTTAATTTACTTTGAAATGTGATTAAAATAAATTAAAACAATTGCTTAATAATTCACACAAATATTTTGGCCACTATCATAATGTAGGACTGTCTGCTTCTCTTGAATTTAAATTAGGGCTGTGCAATATATCGAAATTATCGAAATATCGCAAATGTACATATCGCAATATGCATATCGCTACAGCTTGCAATATTTGGGGCCATGAACAAAAGACAGAGAAAATCACTCACTGCTCTTACCTAAATAACTTTTGTAGCTTAAATAAGAATCAGAGCATATTGAATTCATAGAGTAAATACTAAGCAGTGTTGTATTTTTCCTTTTTATTATTCAGTTCCTAAACTCATGTTAAAATGATTACACTAATGTTAAAATGACATTTTTATGTAATGCTAGAGTAAAACACTACCGTTCACTTTCAGAAGTTGTTGTAGGGGTGCTTTCTTATTAGAATCAGAATCAGAATGAGCTTTATTCACCACTTAAGTGTGCGCAAACAAGGAATTTGTTGTGGTTTTACAGGAACTCTTGGTACATACATACATACAAATAACCATATATATATGACACAAGATAGTTATAGAAGTTCACAGAACTGACTCAGCAACAGCTGAGTAAAACTTTCATCTGAGCATGTGGCACTTTAAGCATTATCGTATCGCATATCGAATATTGCATTATTTAATGAGTTATCGCATATCGCATTTTTTTTTCAATATTGCACAGCCCCAATTTAAATACAAAGAATTTCTCCATTTCCACTCAGTGCAGACGAGATTTAGATTTAAAAAGCACATACAATTTACACAGTAACACTGAAAAAAAATAAACCTTAGAAATTCAACTTGAACACAGCAGTACCAATAACTGTGTTTTTCAGATTTTAAAATGGGTTTTGTGATAGCCTATAAAAAGCATTTGATTTCATGGTAAGATCATGGACCTTAAAGCGGCTGTAGAACTGAATGGCTTGCTGCAAAGGCATTCACAACTACTTCCCCCAGAAGCTGCAACTGATTTATGGTGAATCATGTGGGCAAAATGAATGAGAGCCTCTTATCTAATAGAGAGAGTGATAAAAGAGGGGCAGGGAGGAGGAGAGAGATCAGATGTGTTAATTGCTGCTGTCCTGTAGAGCGTGACTGTTCTGTTGACTCGGGGAGGAGCAGGTCGAGGCTGGAGCCTTGCGCCTCTAATGCCGTTTGTCAGACAAGAATCTGTCAGCAGCAGGAAGCCATTTAAATGTCACCAGGGCTTTAAGCTGCCCATCATCAGCTCAGGCCAAGAGCACTACAGGTGCCTCCCGCTGCCCTCAAACACACACACACACTGCGCTGATGGACTCAATATGCTGCAAGGAGCTTGTTTTTCATTTTTTGACAAGATGGTCTTTCTGCAAACTGGTCATCTCAAAAATAAATAAATAAAATGTGTATTGAAACATCACTTGAAACCATCTTTATTTACATTCATCCTCCGTCAAATAGTAATCCACAATAAATTTCAACAAACAAAACAAAACAACTTTATCTGACCCATTATCTATGAATACTTCTAAAATGGCTAATAAATATTTAAAAACAAAACTAGTGAAATAAGACGCATAATATAATATAACACAATATAACATAATCTGATATGATATATTATAGTTAAGACTAATATAAAATGTAATAATAATAACAATTATTATGTCTTAACTATATTTAATCTCGATATATTTATACTTCCATTTAAAAACGAAGACTTATGTGGATCAATTTCAATTAATACTACTCACTACATAACTTACTAAAATGAATAATAAATATTAATACAACAAGATATAATAAACAAATCTAATAGGCTAATAAACAAATAAAATAAAAACACAAAATTAAATAATAATAATAACAATTATTATGTCTTAACTATATTTAATCTCAATATATTTATACTTCCATTTAAAAACAAAGACTTATGTGGATCAATTTCAATGAATACTACTCACTACATAACTTACTAAAATGAATAATAAATATGAATACAACAAGATCTAATAAACAAATCTTATAGGCTAATAAACAAATAAAAAACACAAAATTAAATAATAATAATAATAATAAATACAATTATTGTATTATATTAAATAATTCTTAAAATATTCTTAAATTATATTATATTACCTTACATTACATTACATTATATTACTTTACATTACAAGTCTGCTTGTGATATCTTTCTTTTAACTAAATGTCACTTCCAATAAATGCCACCAAAGGAATTTGAATTAATCTGAATTAATTGTGGGAACCAAGAATAGGTATAAAACATTATAATAAAAAGTGGTTCATAACTACTCAGCATTCCTGAGGACCTGATTGTTCTCTCATACATGCATTTATTAAGTTTAAATTTTGAGATCTAGGCTTTTGAAAAAGAGTCTCTTGTCTGATAAATGCTACAGATGATAATGAAATTGTAACGCAAATGCTCACGCATGAGTGAGTGTGTGTGTATGGAATAATTTAGATGTGTGCAAGAAGCATAAATTTTTAAAGGCTCTGAAGGCTTATGTAACGGGGTCCACGTGTGGCCATGAGCGTTGGGGAACAGCTGCAGTCAGGATACATCCGCCACAAGACAGGACACACACACACACAGCAGTGCTTTTTCACTTATGTAGCACATACACTAGGGTACAGACACACACACACCTACACACAGGCACATTACCAAAACAGAGCAGCATGCAAAATACACATAGAAAAGTAATGCAATCCATATCATGTCTCTCCTCCTTTCAATTCTTTGTCTTCAGTCATTTACAGTCATAATAGACATTTTTCTTTCTCTCTCTCTCTCTCTCTCTCTCTCTCTCTCTCTCTCTCTCTCTCACACACACACACACACACACACAATAATAAACTGGTGGCATCTGCTCATAAGAGTGACTGTAGAATCGATACTATAATTAACACGATCACACAGTCTTTCTCTCCCTCATAAAACAGCAGCCTAATCAATTCAGTAATTAATGGTGTAAATAAAAGTCATAAGCACTCAGAGACTCATTCAGCCCAGAATAAAGGGCTGATCACACAAGAATTGAAAGGTTAAGTGTGTGATTTCTGTGCCACCAGAGCCACTAAACAGAATAGCAAAAAATAACAATTGTTTTGGAAATGGTTTTCACTACCACATCTGCCATTGGTAAGCAAACAAATAGCTAAGGGTTGAGCTAATGCTGCTGTGTCAGGCTTTTTGGAGCACTCTCCAGTGACACCAACCTATGAATGGTTTATAGTTGGCTAACAATTCACATAAAGCCAGGAAAGAAAACATTTCAAAATTGAAAAAAATTAAACACATTATATATGGTCACACTTTAGTTTGGGGACCAATTCTCACTATTAATCTCTCTCTCTCTCTCTCTCTCTCTCTCTCACACACACACACACACACAATAATAAACTGGTGGCATCTGCTCATAAGAGTGACTGTAGAATCGATACTATAATTAACACGATCACACAGTCTTTCTCTCCCTCATAAAACAGCAGCCTAATCAATTCAGTAATTAATGGTGTAAATAAAAGTCATAAGCACTCAGAGACTCATTCAGCCCAGAATAAAGGGCTGATCACACAAGAATTGAAAGGTTAAGTGTGTGATTTCTGTGCCACCAGAGCCACTAAACAGAATAGCAAAAAATAACAATTGTTTTGGAAATGGTTTTCACTACCACATCTGCCATTGGCAAGCAAACAAATAGCTAAGGGTTGAGCTAATGCTGCTGTGTCAGGCTTTTTGGAGCACTCTCCAATGACACCAACCTATGAATGGTTTATAGTTGGCTAACAATTCACATAAAGCCAGGAAAGAAAACATTTCAAAATTGAAAAAAATTAAACACATTATATATGGTCACACTTTAGTTTGGGGACCAATTCTCACTATT